ATCACCTTCCACAGCCCACCGGAGCTGGATCTGCACGCCGTGCTCACCAGAGAGCATAAGCAGCCAGCGCAGCCGCTGCTCCGGCACGTCTTCTTCACCTACACTGACTCCAAGGTCACGCTTAGCGTCACACTGCCCAAGGCCGGCATCTACAAACTGGGGCTCTATGGCAAGAACACACCCGGCCCGCACTTCAGTCTGCTGTGTGATTTCGTGCTGCGCAGCTCCTCAGACGTCAGCTGGCCGCCGTTTCCCTGCACATACTCGGTGTGGAAAAAGGGCTGCGTGCTTTTCGAGCCCCGTGGCGGCCTGCTGGAGCCGCAGTCCCAAGTGCATTTCCGAGTTCGTGTCCCCGGGGCACAGAGGGTGATCGTGGTCGGGGAGACCCAGACCGACCTGCGTCTCAATAAGAGCAGGGTGTGGGAAGGTGAGGCCTTCACTGGCAGTCCTGGGTCCCAGCTGAAACTGGCTTCCAGTTTGGGTGGAGAGGCCACTGACATGGCTGTCCTGATGGCCTTTGATGTCCTGAGCCAGAGTAACGAGGAGTGAAATGTTCAAAGCACTCGCTAAAACACAGAGAAGATGTTTTCTGTTAGAAGCAGAGAAGGGAGCATGGCTGTAAGACTAAGAAGATGAGGTCACATTTTTCAGCCGAAAACAATTTAAAAACAATTTTTTCATTTCTCAGAAATTATATTTTAACAGTTTAACAAAAATATTTAATAATACTAATTAAACGGACAGACAAGCTATAACACAAGTGTTAACCTGAGTCTTCACCCTACAGACACAAACTCAGCTAAGCTTTCTCACCCCAGCAGCTACAAACGAATAATTTAACTGAGCAGCGGATGTGAACTACAGCGGTTATAAGAACCCTAGGGTTAAAATAACTGCCAGTTACAGCCGCAGGTGTGAACATTAGAAGCTAATATTAAATAATTGTATTTTATGTGTCAGTACAGGCAGTAGTTATACAAGATGATGTGATAATCATTACAATATAGCCAAAAACTGGAGACTGGAGTGTTAATATTACTAAAGACGTCTGGGGAGCATTCCAGCCTTGTGCCCTATACTGCCTGGGATAAGCCCCAGGCTCCAGTGACCCAGACCAAAATGAGCCATTAGAAGATGGATGGATGCATGATGTCTGTACACAAATATACATTCTGAATGGAGTCATGCATCTGGGTAATATGCCAGATTCGACTAATTGTCTCTGTAAAGAAAAATGATCATACCTCCCAGGGATATTGATGTACTTGCTGTAAGTATGATATTATAAATGTTACTACCAACAATGCTATAATAAAAAGTTCTTATTATTTAACGTTTGTATTTGTAGGCAGTTCATGTTGCACATTTGCTCATCATTCATTACACGTTTACACAGGGCTGAACTGGGGTTAAAAATCGGCCTTTTGCCCTGACAGGTCCATCATGCATATACCGGGGTTCGACAATGAAACTGAAACACCTAGTTTTAGACCACGGTAATTTATTAGTATGGTGTAGGGCCTCCTTTTGCGACCAATACAGCATTAATTCATCTAGTGAATGACAGATTCATGTCCTGCACAGTGGCCAGAGGGATTTTGAGCCATTCCTCTTGCAGAACAGTGGCCAGATCACTATGTGATGCTGGTGGAGGAAAACATTTTATGATTTGTTCCCCCAAAACATCCCAAAGTGGCTCAATAATATTCAGATCTGGTGACTGTGTAGGCCATGGGAGATGTTCAACTTGATTATCATGTTCATTAAGCCACTCTGTCACAGGTCTTGCTGTGAGTATTGGTGCATTATCATCCTGATATATGGCACCACCTTCAAGGTACAATGTTTGAACCATTGGGTGAACATGGTCCTCCAGAATGGTTCGGTAATCCTTGGCAGTGACACACCCATCTAGAACACGTAGTGGGCCTGGGAATGCCATGTTACCGGAGCTGAAACCGTCACTTCCGTGCTACACTCTGGGTGCACAACAGTCCAGTGGAGCTTCTCCACACCGTAACTCTCCCAGCTGTGTGAAGGACTGTGAATGTGGACTCGTCAGAGAACATGTTTCACATTATCCACAGTCCTTCTGTTGCGCTAGCACCATTGAATCCAATGTTTGGCATTGGCACAATTGACCAAGGTTTTGACTATAGCAGCCCAACCATGATTATCGATCCTATTGAACTCCCGACAAACAGTTTTGGTGGAAACAGGAGAGTTGAGAAACGCATTTAATCCCACAATGAGTTGGGAAACTGAGTTTTTTTTGGATACAATCCAGGTTAGTACCCAGACATCCCTTTCAGACAGCTTCCTTTTGTGTCCACAGTTACTCCTGTTGGATGTGGTCCATCCTTTGTGGTGGTACAGTATGCTGATATTACCCTGGATACTGTGGCTCTCAAAACACCGCAAGCACTTGCTGTCCTGGTCACAGACACAAAAACAACTTGCCCTCTTTTGAACTCCCATTATGTTGGGTGGATAGCAATATTTTATGTACTATTGCTCTGCTGATTCAACGTTCACATTCTGATACTGATGGAAAGTGCATGCGCATCAACAGGCCTGGAACCTCAAACACTATTGACCAGGTCCTTCAGTTTCATTGTTCAACCAATGTACATGCCCACAATAGATTTTGCCAATTGGGAGTGGTGGGGTGCACCACAATAAATTTTGTCAGCCCACAAACCCATTGGCTCACCTTTATGCAAGGCCTGAGCTTATGCCTTTCTTAACAGGCACAGAGATGAGTTACATGACATAGAGGTGATTATGAAAAAATACCAGAAGGAAATACTACTTTATATTTTAAACAATACTAGCTTTAATCAAAGTGGAAATTGCAATCCACCCACAGCCATCATTGCCATGTCTTCTGGCTTCACCCACATTGACATGGGGTTGCATCCCAAATTGAAATGGACACAAACACCAAAGTAAATGTTTCACTTTGTGCTTTGGGTCAGTGATGCTGATGATTACCTTAAGGGTGAATGGAGGAGAGAAGTATTTTGAAAAAATTATTTTAGAGGATGACCAGACACAATACTGAGAAGGAATTTGATCAAACCATTGAGTTGTTACCACAGTCCTTAATATCTCATACTAACACCATCTCAGAACTACTGTTTGACAAACCAATTTTTCTAATGTCAATTCCTACTGAAAATAAATAAAATTTCACAAAGTAACAATGAAAAAGAAATGAACTGGCCACTTGATAGCAGGAACATTTTTAAAAGTAATAAATCAAATCAAAGTACCTTTGATGTTATCTTCTATCTGAGATTAAATTATGATCTTGTTGGTCATGGTGCAAGAAAAACAGTGATAAACAGAATTTAAACATTACTTTTTAAATACTGACTCTGACAATTTACAGATTAAGACATGGACAGAGACAGAAAAATGCAATCAAAAATACAGGATAAAAAATGTACATGCAGTTGTGCAAATAGACATGAGTTGTATAGGCCAGGAAGTGCAATAATAGATCGCAGTCACAGTATTGAATGTGTGGTATGGGGTTTTGTTACGGTTATGATTCCAGTACAGAGTTGGGAAAAGTTACTTTTTAGGAGACCTAGTCTTAGACTGGGAGGGGCCAGACCATTCAGCAGTGAAACTGCCTGGGGAAAAAAGCTGTTTTTAAGCCTCGCTGCTCTGACTTTGAGGCTGCAGAACCCCCTACCAGATGGCACTGGGCAAAGAGGCTGTGGGAGGGGTGGGATGGGTCTCTGATCACTCAGGTGGCCCTCTGGATGCAGTGGTCATTGAATATGTTCAACAGACAAGGCAGCGAGGGCCTTTCTGCTGATTTTTGGAGGGCCTGACATTCTGAGGTGTGATGCAGTTTGTGAGAGTACTCTCAACTGGGCCAGTATAGCTGATGTTAGGTGGCATTCTCGCCTGTCTCAAGTGAGTAGAGTCTCAAGACAGACTGTAGTCACTCTGTCAGAAAGTCCAGCATCCAATTACAAAGTGTTGTTTTCAGACCAGGATGGGACAGCTTTTGGATTAGTTGTTGCGGCATTACTGTTGAATGTCAAAGTGAAATTGATAAACAGCATCTTTACAAAAGATTCTTTATTTTCCTGGTGTGCTAATGTGGTGTGAAGAGCTAGGGCAATAGCTAGTTGTATTTAATTTATATTTCACAACAACAAATACTTTTTCACTTATCAGCCTTGGTGCTGTGAGTATATTCAAATAGCTCGAACTCCTGGTAGTTAATTATAATGGTGAAGGCAAGCCTTGGGCTATCTTTAGCAAAGGGTTTAAAAGCTGTTGATCTTGTCAACAGTCATCTCTTGGATACCCTGATTATCTCCATTCCATCGTAGGGGCACAGTAACCGATATGTCCAACATGTGCACAAACTGTTTGTGTTTGACTTCAATGTATTGTAGCGACACCCTGCAAGATGCCCATGTTCCCCCACAAAGCAGTGCAGCTACACCCCACAAGCTGCCTGTTTACCCACGATGTATTGCAGCTACACACTGTAGACTGCCAGTGTTCACCCACAAAGCAGTGCAGCTACACCCCACAAGCTGCCTGTTTACCCACGATGAATTGCAGTTACACCCTGTAGACTGCCAGTGTTCACCCACAAAGCAGTGCAGCTACACCCCACAAGCTGCCTGTTTATCCACAATGTATTGCAGTTATACCCTGCAGACCGCCAGTGTTCACCCACAAAGCAGTGCAGGCCTAGACCTTTTGAGGGCCGCCGGGAGTTGGGGTCCCCTCGATAAAGTCATTGGTAATTAAAAGGGGGCACTCAGTGAAACGTCCTGACTGAGGGGAGAGGGGGAATTCTCTCAGTAAAATCTGTGATTGTCGGTGATCGAAGAGCAGCACTCAGGACATTTCCTGACAATGAAAATAGGGATGATTAGGGCTAAGACCCAGCTTCAGCACATTTTATAAAGGAGAGAAGAGGCAAGAGGCAGAACACAGGTGCCAAATGAAAGGTGAGCTCAATGTGCGAACAAAGCCTTTTATTTGCTTTATAGCCACAGTGTGTTTGAATGTATAAGAAAAACCTGCAACAAAGAAAAACAACTGAATCATAGGATAATACAAAACCAGAAGAATTACCAATATTAATATAGATTTTAATGATTTACTTGTGATACATATACTATAAAAAGTCATAGGAAAAAAACAGTAGCATTGTGCAAATACAATGAAATTGTTTTTGTCAAATTTATTTTTTTCCAAAGTAACAGCAACATTTAAATATATATGGCACATTTCAAGTCACATTTATGATGTCCTGAAGTTATTTTTAGTCTTGAGAATAAGTTTTTATTCAAGTACACTAAAAATAATTTTAATTCAGTATTGAGGTAAGTTTTTGACGTCAGTTTTAGTTTTGTTTAAAATATTTTAGAGTTTATAGACTAAGGAAAGTCTTTATAAACATTTCGAACATCCCCAAAATCCTAAAACTACCAAACAGAACCAAAAACTGCAAACAGAAAACCTTGGAGTAAGACCCATCCTTTAGGGAGTCTTTAGCTGGTATCTCAGTTTGAAGGGCTTTGTGCAATTTCAGTCTACTTCTATCGCCACATCAGAGGCTTGTTCCTGTGCTTGCGGAATGAGAGCCATGGCTGTTATGGTATGGATTACAGAGACGGGAGGCAGGTAAGAAGCGCTGAGCCCTTCACAAAATTTCACAGTCTAAACTTAAAGTACCTCTTACATGACCATGGCAGGTGCTCCTGTCCCCTGTGACCTGGCAGCCAGTGTCATCAGTATCTGCTTGGCCTGAGATCTGGAGTTCAGCTCCTCTTTCCTTTAGCCCCAAGTCCTAGGTCAGCCCAAACTGGTCCACTCTGGTTTGAGAGCACCGAGCCAATACAGAAAGTAAGCAGGACACCTGATAGCAGCAGTTTACAGAGCTTAATGTGTTTTTTCAAAAGTGAGGGAGGAGGTTCTGATAAAGGGATTCCGTCCAGGAACAAGCCTCTCTTATAGATACTCAATGTATCAAAATCAGCCACCTTATTAGGTAACAAAATCATATAAATATATAGAATTCAAATTTCTGTTCTTATTAGAAAGTGCAAATTCCAAATCTGGGCCCTTTACATAAATTATTCACCCTTAAAAACTAAACACCACTGAGTTACAGGAGTAGAGCAATTCCTGACATTTGAACCATGAATGCTAAGGCAATAGATTATTTTCATTGCACAAAAGTATGTATATAAATAAATCAAAAAATAACCCCTCCCTTTGACTCCGAATCACGTTTTTGTCCTATAACTTCAGCAACAAAACCACTAGCCTCTACGTTATAAGAACACACAGCACTTGGTTATGTCAGCGTGGCACAGAGGGGGGGCTGGCACAGTGGGGGGAAGGGGTGCTCCAGGCTCCTGTGGGGGCCACCTAACGCAAGGAAAGAGCCCCTTACCAAATGTCATCCATCACGCCCGATCTCTGTCAGCGCTTTGGGAGACGCTGAGGGGAGCCTTCAGAATTGGCATCGCTCCTGTTCCAATCTTTCTGATTAAGCCATGGTAACATGATGCAAGCTGTCCTCCGGGCACCAGGAATGTCCCTGGGGCAGCTAGTGCTCATTGTTTTCGGTCTACTTGATTCGTTTCCACTTGGACTGGACCTGGAGGGGTCCCCACTCTGCCACATCCCCTCTGGTTGAGTAGAATACTTCCTAAAGAACAGCTTACTAAGACTCCTTTCACCAAGACTGAGCTAAGAGGGTCCCTCCGCCCTCATTGTATCCCTGCAGGAGAGGCAAACCATACGCATCCTAATGATGCTCAGCTCGGCCGCTGCCAAGCCATTGCTGGAGCAGAAACCCCCAAAGACGTTCCTCTGTTTTTCTTTTTCACTCAGAGGTTCATTTTTTATTTAATACATTATTATTAAAATACTAATGTCCTGGACTTCTTAACCAATTCACAGTATTAAAAAATATATATTTTGTAGAGGTCATGAAATTCTTCTCAAATACTTTAAGAATGCTGACTTTTTAGGAACCAGTTTGGTGAAAGGCTATTTCGTACAAGTAAACAGATCTTATATTAACACATGCAAAAAGTACATAAAGAGTAATTACCTTTTAGTACTATTTACTGAAGTAAATATTTTATATACCCTTTGGACCCTTTGAGGACTGCAATATTCATACAATTGATGGCCTATTAAATCAATAATACATCATCACATGTATGAAAGACTCAATTTCATCCTTTCTCAATTTTTGAGTCCCCCATTTTAAGCTATGCTGCACCCAACATGCTCTTAATGTCTTAATCCCATCAACACCAGCCACATTTCAACATTTCAAGAAGAATAGAAGTAATCAGAGAAGGCTGAACTAAGGCACGGGTTCAGGGTAAGCAGCAAAGCAAGCGATGAGTCCGGAAGCTTGGTTTAGAACAAACAGATTCCAAGCATGAGTGAAGTGGATTAAACCCGAATCACCCTCAATGCACCCAACAGCTGTCTGGGACTCACAATGACATTTTCTCCTTCCAAAACATGTAAGACAACAGTGCAGACATCTGCACGTTAGCAGGGTCAAGAATCTGGTAGTTTAAAATGTTCAATCCTTAAAGAGTCCAAGGGCAGGTATACAGAAATGTTACCTCTTGTTGAATAAAATTGCACTTAATATTAGAAAAAGACAACGTAAGTTGGAATTTTTCCAGACGCTTTGTTGCCTAGAGACGCTATGATGGAACCTCTAGCATCTCCTGGGGTCTAGGAGCCATCAGAGGCACTCTGACTGTTTTCGACACCCAGGGTTTGGTCAGGTTCCGATCTTAGATCCCGCTATAAAGTGACAAAGCAGAGGGGCCCACAGCATTTATACAGAGCCATCGAGTCTTTGGTCATCATATCACTGGCATGCATTCTTTGTTAGGGCTGATTGATCCCATCAGTCCAGGCTGCTGAGGACAGGCATTAGATCAGCTTCAAGGTCAATTCTGTCAAAGGCACACATAAGCTATTCATGATACGTGACGCTCCCCTCATACACGCATGCTGTGTTAAACACAGTGCAATTCAGACCACATGATCTAAACTAGTTCATCCTACCTGAAGCTGGTGTGAGGATGGTTAACCTATGATGGACACTAAGTCAGTCGATCAGCCTACGTTTGACCTAAAGAAACAGTTCGGTATGTAATCATTACAGATGAAGTTATTCCAACGAGTGCAAAAAATGTGGTAGTCAAGTGATGCAGGGTTCACCACATTTAAGGGAGCGACCAGTGGTCAGTGTATTCTACAGATGCTGTGTGCTTATTCTCAAGAAGGACACACCAGAAGAATGCTTGCTGTGCAATGAAGAGATCTGACCTTAAAGCAGTTCTATTAGAGACACTGTATTCTTAAAATGAAATTTATATTCAGCTATCGTATAAATACTGCTGGACCCCTCCTCCAATTAGGACTAACTAGGTCTGTCACTGAAACAAGAGAAAGTCATGCATAGGACTAAAGACACAACAGTTGGAGCGCAGTGCTGCAACTAACCTACTGTTGCAGAGGATCAACTCTGCAAGCACACAGCACAGGCATTCCAGAAGAATGCCTATAATCATTACCCCAACTTCAGCTGAGCTGCCCAACCCAATCCAAACCCCCCCCCCCCCCATATAATCCCGAAGCAAAACGTGATGTTCTGCCAATGACTGGAGCTCAGTATAACGAAAATTGTTAAAGGGAACAGCTAATTTCTTTAGGCATATACTATTCTCTGTAGGTCACCCATGAAGAAGCCAGATGCAGAACATACTGCATGTTCATACTGCCAGAGCCGGAACGTGTGTGACACTTATCTACGCTGCAGTAGGTGATATAAGGCTCATTATGAATCTGTTGCAACATAAATTCAGCAGGATAACAGGTGGCTGCAGTATTGGGTTGCTATCATCAGCCTCTTCATATTAACACTCTGTGGAGATCTGATAACTAGCCCACAAGACCAGAGTTAAATGCAGACTTCATTGTGCATTTTGCCCAACTAAGTCTGTCACCACTTTGAAGGACACTCATATTTATACAGAACAGAATCCTGCTGTATGGTTGTATTAAGAGGTTTATGCCCTTAGCTGTAGAGATGACCATATGTGAGCTTCTTGTATAAATACGGCATATCCATTGCAGTAGTAGGACCCCCCCTCCCCAACCCACCCATATCTTCCCTTGGAGGATGTGAATGTTGTGGACGGTTGTGTCTAGGGGTCAAACAGATCACCCTGGCACTGCTGCTCCAGCTGGTGGTTGAAGCGCTCAATCTCTTTGTTGGCTTCTTCTAAATACTCATCAATGAACTCCTCCATCACTGGATAAACTCCAGGTAAGGAGAACACAGCATAGAGCCTCATACTCTAATTATTGAGCAGAAATGGTACATATCACATGCAAAGACCAATTTTTCTTCAAAACGTGAAAGGATACACGGATGAAAGGTCATTTTCTCCCCAAAAAAGGTCACATACTGGCTCCCATTGTAGAAGTACCCCACTGGCAGAGGGTGTAAGTGACGAGATACCTGGAAATATAGGAAGCCATAAACACTTGGTGGTATTACATAATTTGATATAGAAATAAAGCGGCTATTAAACATAATTTTGATTGTAGGCCAAAAACCAACTGCAAAGGTAAAGAAAGTAAGCTAAGGCTTATGTTATGTCAGAAAATAAGCCAGGGTAGTTTTGAACCAAACCAGCAAGGTTCAAATCATAAACTTATCATTTCAGCATACTGTATGTGCTGCTTTCAGCAGGGCCACTGCATTGTGTGTTGTGACACATTACTCCCGTGAATATCATCAATGTTATCTGCCAAATGTGCCACTGAAAGTACACACCACGGCTGGCTGTTAGCAGCCCACACACCTTGCCATTTCAGAGATGCCCTGACCTAGCTGTCTAGCCGTAATCATTTAGCCTTTGTCAAAGGCACTTGCATCTTCACCTCTGCCCATTTCTTCTGCACTCAACTTGACTACGAAGCACCGAATGTTAGCTTCCCACCTAATGTATCCCTGTCCTGACACACAAGGCTTTTTTACAAAATAGTCAACATTATTTGCTTCATGTGAGGGTGGTCATAATGTTTTGGTTCAGAGGTGTATAACTGTCATAAATCAGTTGGGTGAAAAAACAGGAAGGAAAATATTCATTTTTGATGACTCACGTGGATGATCCTGATCTCCTGAGGGGTCAGTGTCTTCCTTGTTTTTAAGGCTTTCCTTGCAGCTTTCTGGAACAACATTTAAAAGGAAAATTATTTTAAAAAGCTTTTAAAAATAATTAAAAATCAAATGTTAAAGGATGCAAGATTTCAATTCTGCGGAACGCAAGTCTGAGTTGAGCACATGCTACTCCAAAACTGCACATCGACTACATGCTACTCTTCATCAACACTCAATGTTAACCATGTTCTACCCTTTCATTTTCACTGTACTCTCATTCCCTTGATTCTTCATTACTGCATTGAGTATGGGGGGCAAGGTCTTTGCCCATTAAGAGTTGATGGGTCATGCTTCTTCAGGGTGGCTGTGATCATGTACCTGCGGAGTACATTGGCGCAGCCAGTCCTTGAGGCCCTCCATGGTGAGGTCCACCCCATAAAACTGCAGGGAGCAGATGTGGGTGGGCAGGCTGGAGTCCTCCATTGCTGGGACCATGCTCAGAGTTCCACTCACTGAGCCGAAGCTCAACTCCATTAGCTTGTCGGAGTCTGGAGGAGAACAGCTGTTACTCACTGCACCAAACAACATCTTGCTCCATGCCAAAAGACTAATGTTATCTTCAAACAATGTTATCGGAATGCTATGAAAAGGTTATGCATATACACCACTGGGTGGCACTAATAAAATGTATGTCCAAGCAATATCTGAACATAACACACACCTCAGTCAATGTACAAGTAAGAAGGTGCTGACAGCCAGGAAATGAACATGTGCTTTTCAAACATGTGGGCTAGTTTAAATAAAACAATGCAGCTGCTGCGAGCTGTCTTCATATGGCATCATGAACCACCATGCTAATGTTACTGTGCTCTCTTCAAATGCCAAGCTCCTGTCCCACTGGTATTCTGCATCGTTTTATCTAGGATCCTAATTTAGCCATTCAATCAGATCTCTAGTATTAAAGCACAAGAATCCTGTCTGACGTCTGCCAGTGGGTACAGTAGCTTTTAATTTGGTCATATTGTACTACTAGTAGGGCGGCACGATATCACATTACGATTTAATTGCGATTATATGACGCTTGCGCAATAATCACCAGGGTTTTAGGTAACAGGTGAAACATTTGTCCGGATGCTGACTTTTCAGTACTATATGGATGTTTACTTACACCCACAATTCGATAAGCAGATTAGTAGTACACCTAAAATATTAATGAAATGTGTATCGCGACGCCCAAAAGTTAGTAATCTGTATAAATTTGGCGTATCCTTATGTTTATTAAATTCGGTTAGCAGAGCACACCACATGCTACTGTTTTGGTAAATCATGGAAGTGATAAGCACTGAAGTGGCAATGAAGAAAGGGACAGCTCAACAGGCATGACATCTTTTAGAAGAGGAGATAAACAAAGTAAAAAGATTTCTGTGGTATGGCAGTACTATTTGCAGTATAAAGTCTGACATGTTTATTAAACATAAAGATACAGCAAATTTATACAGATTACTAACTTTTGGGCGTCACATTACACATCACATTAATATTTAAGGCGTACTACAAATGTTTCACCCATTATCTAAAGCCCTGGTGATTATTGTGCATGCGACATATAATCACGATTAAATCACAATAGCAGCCCTAACTACTAGACATTGCCACTTTGTTTGGTTGTGTGAACTGCAGCACGTTCTCACTGTGAAAATGAAAAATAAGACTCAAAGAACATGTGGGAAAAAGAAAGCAAAACCGAAGGGAACCAACATTTATGACTTGAACTCTAAATGTTCTAAATGTAGACGTAAGATGCAGAAACACCAGCAAGTTTCTTACCGTATTACAACTTCGGTACATGAGCACTTCCTCTAAAATATTCAATACTGTTTGTGTTGAAATACAATTAACACGCAGTATATACCAAGAAAGTCCACATCTATAATAACGACACGCTTCCAGGTAGGTGATAAGACACCTGCTTACTGAACATGCAGTGTAATGAAGGAGAAGTAAACAACTGGCAAACTTTAAAATATCACAGTGTGAGGCCAAGGTGCTCACGTCAAATTCGGAAGAGAAGTTTATGCACTACTCAAAAAAGGCAGTGTTTACCAGAAAACTACACACTTACAGTAACTGGAAGTGTTTACCAGAAAACTACACACTTAACTGGCAGTGTTTACCAGAAAACTACACACTTAACAGGTAGTGTTTACCAGAAAACTTGACTCTACCACAGATGTGGTAGATATTTCCACAGAAAGGGTCAGGTCTCAAAGGCTTCAACTCTGTGGAAGATAAGAATTAATGATTTAAATACAAGGATAGTGAGAAGCCAGCAGCAAGAACTACAGGGTGATGTGTAATGAGTCTGTAGCATGATGAGGTCCTACCTTTGCATCTAGCCATGAACTGCAGCCGGTCAAGTGGACGACTAAAGGTCACACAGTGGTGGTTCATTGTGGGAGACATGTCACCGGAGCAGAACTTCCCCATATTCCTGGATACAAACGCAGCCAGCGTTGTGAAGCACCAGACATATCAATCAACAATTACATACTTTGATGCTTAATTACATTTATTTTCCTCTGCTATCAAAATGGTCAGCCTCTAAACCCTAACCAATCACCTGAAAATGTCTTCTCTCAACCTCAGTGATGGACTGTATTTTACCAGAACATTAGCCTATAAATGTTAATACCTATACTGAACCAATAAGACTGGGGATATGACTTCACTGCCAGGTGTCCATATGTCCCAGGTGTAACCCGCTTAGAATTATACATACAATCCAGGGTACAGGAGGTAACGAGCCGTTAGCATCAGGGGTTCTGAAAAACTGCTCTCAGATAGGATCAGCTCCACGTCTTCATTCCTATACAGGACACCATCATATTATTATTTGAGGCAAATCAGCTTTACACTTCAGCCCAGGCAGCAGGGATATAGGGACATACCTGGTCACAGCACCCTTCTCGGCCAGGATGAAGGCGGCACCTGGGTTGGCAGCTCGCACCAGCTGCTGTACCTGCTTCAGAAGAGGGTGTCTCTGCTCCTGGGTCAGCCCCGTAAAAACTACATTGCTCACCAGACCTGGGGCACAAAGAAGAGAACATAGGTCAGAACCTTAGCTCAAGTCCAAGAGTGCCTCTGCTGTAATAACCTGATGGCAATTAACAGGGTGAAAAGTAACAGAGACAAACTTTGGAAACTTTCCAGCAGGTAGCAGTGAGCTGTTATGGTTTTAGTGCAGCATCATATTTATATACCTAAACTTTAAAGAAGGTTAATTATGTATAAAAATGCACAAAAAAAAACAAATTTCTTGAAAATATCACGTACGTGGCTAGGTAACTCTGAGCCTAGGATGGGCACTGAACTGCCCCTGTGTATCATCGCTGAGATGTGCCCAGTGCAGGGCAGCCCTGTGCATAAGTCTTCCTTGCCAATACACAACTGTGATGTTTGCCAAGCTGCCTCCAGGCAACAGGCAAACTGGCAGGGGATTTCAGAAAGGCGATGGTCATCAGAGATGAGCAGTCTCACGCTGAACAAGAATTCCCTGACATCCAGCACCCACTGCGGATACAGTACGTGTAGGAAGACCAATAGCCCACTATAGGTGGCCCCCCAACAGACCAGAAGCCTGGCCCCCTGCTTCTGATAACCCTTCCCACAGGAAATCAGGCATAAAGGCAAGGACACCTCCCACTGAAAGAGCTGAGAAGCCATCCATGCCAAGCAGAAACTAATCTAAAGCAAAAGATAGAAACAACAACACTATCCACCCGGATAGCTGATCATACCCATCAGAAAATTTTGCCCAGCTGTTGAATATGCCACAAACGAACACATTGCCTCATGGTTAACAGCATGAAACAACAACATGAAATGAGCTTCTGGACTACAGCCATGACCTGGACAGGCTCAAACAAACCCACACACACCACTGTCATCCATATTCCACGATTGCTCAGAGTCTGATGGTAACCAGCTGTTGGGGTAAGCAGCTACACAACTTACCATGACTGCACTGTTCCAAGAGCTTGGGAAACGCATATCTGCATGAAAAAAAAAAAAGAATTCATTAATATTTAATTTATGATTATCATTATTATACTTTAAGTCTGCAACTGAATGCCTTGGTTTCGTTCGGTAGACTGGCATTCGATTCAGGCCCAAGTTTCATGCCCATGCTGACCAAGGTACAGTACATGGTTAAAAGATGGATGGATGGTTCATTTCAACTGTAGCTGTCAAAATACTAACTGAAAAACTTCTTATAAATTGATTTTGTTGGCTTGTTTACGTTTCTTTAAATATAAAGTGGGACTCTTGTATACACGGTTTCAGTTAATCGTGGTTTACCACGGTCCGAAAAGAAAACTTAAAAAATTCCAGAATTGGTTCATAAGTTTCAAACTGCACACCAGACTAGTACAGGGCGCAAGCCAGTGAGTACCCACAATTGGCTAAGATATAAAAAACAGGTAAATGACGCAATATTTTTCACTGCAAAATGCGTAACAGTAGGGTATGTTTTTTCATTGTTCCTTCGTCCTTTGAGGGGTATAAAAAGCACAATTTTCAATGCTTCATCATCCCTTGATACATACTGTATTATTTCATTGCTATATCATCTTTTGAGAATTACACTAAAACGTCAGTATCCTTTTCCATTCGAGAGAGTACAGTACTGTATAGTAGTGTACAATGTACTTTAATGTTACCGTATTTAATATTGGCAATGACTGTGTATAATTTATCAATTTAACTTTACCATATGTATGTACACAAAAATAACATTATATATGGGGTCTGCGAATGGTTCGCTATTATCTACAATTTTGGCTATCCACAGAAGGTCTTGAAACCCACAGATATAAGGGACTACTGAACAGACCATACCCCGTTGATTATTTCTTTGATATCAAAATAAGCAACATGTGTTCAATTTTGACAGGTAAGTGTCTGCCATGTTGTCAAGACCATGACACTAATAGAAAACCAATTGTGACACCAGGAATAAATTGATACAGTATAAAATCAGATTTCTAATAATAATTAAGGACCAGTTAGTGCATGAGCCCTTTTGTAGAGGGACAAGTGACATTGACAGAAATTATAAACCAAGCTTGATTATTCTTTCTCCCTGATGCCATAACTGGCTACTTGCCTCACTGAGGTACATTTTAATGGGGAAATGATGAATCCTTCTGTTTTTCTCTAGTACAGGACGACCCTGACAAACATCCTATGGAGCCCAGTTCAGACGGGAAATCAGCAAACAATTTCAAGTTTCAAATATGCTTATATAATATTCCAGCGTTAGTTTTGAGTTACATTGTTCAGAATAAACAAATTATATTCCATGAGCAGGGAAACGTTTTGCTTACCCCGAAGCTGAAATGAAATACAGGTAAAACTAAAAAGAATAAATCAACCCAAGATATAAACATATGTATCAGTCATTGCTATATTATCACAGCATTCTTCAGTGAAGTGTTTGCAAGTCCTTAAGTTTATTAATTTATCCCTACTCAAAGCACACAGAGCCACAGGTAATAAATGAATAGTCAGACAGACTTAATCCTTTAATAAATACCACCAGCATTTAAATGTATTGGCAAACAGCTGGGGGGGTGGGGGGTGGGGGGGGGGAGGTACTCCACAGGTCTTCAGGTAGCTCAATGCAACAAATCAGGCCAAAATAAAAGGCTAAATGTAAAGTGCCAGCTGATGTTTTTAACTGGTGAAATAACTTAAGCTGTAAGCACTTCCAAGACATTCCTGTGCAAAGCTAGAGCTGTTAACTATTTCCACTGAACCACCGACAAGCCCCATGCAGCTAATACAGAAAAAAAACAGAATAACAAAGTATGTTGATGTGTCAGCAGTGGACACTTTATTCATTTAGCAGACACTTTTATCCAAAGAGATGTACAGTTCTTTTAGAAAGGAGCAGGCAATTCCTGGAGCAATTGGAGATTAAGGGCCATACTTAAGGGGCAAGTGGTGAAATCACTTTGGCCTGACCTTGGGATTTGAACCAGTGACCCACCAATCACAGCCAGAGCCTCCTAATCTCACTGAGTTACACACCAATCACAACCCCCAGCTTAAACAGGGCGACCCTCACTAACGCTGTACAGCAATATCCACAGAGCCACCTATAAATTATGTCTTAACGTAAAAGGATATATAAACGTTTCATTTCATTGTGGTGGGATTATTCACCTGTGTTCCATAAAGGAGCTGAGGGGGTCCACACAGGCAGTAATGGCTCCCAAGCTGAAGGCATCTCGGATCACGGGGTCTGGGTGGGCGAGCGCTGCCTGCACCACGTCTGCCACATCCGTGTATCTGAAACAGAGGGAAGATGTCAGATGTGAGGCCAAGCGAATACAGAATACAGATGCCAAGCTAAAGGACAATAAGGGGTTCAAGCAGAAACACTTTGAAACGGCAAAAATCAGAGATAATATGCACCTATTTTAGGGCCACCCATATGCATTACACTATGGAGTCAAGTAGGGGTCACAATGCACAGAATATGATTTTGTGCATAATGCTGCGATATATAAAAGTATATCTAATGATAGGAAATCAACGTGACCTTAAGTACTGTTGAGAATAAGAATCAGAATCACACCACATTTACACCACATACTTATGATACAAAATCTAACAAGCACAACATGCTTCTTGATTAATTCCCTTTATGTTATGAACACTACAACACGGTACTCTTCTATTCCACTATTATACTGTCTGGCATAAGCTTCGGCAATTCACCCTTTACCCTATATAAAAATCTGAAATGCAGTTGATTTTTTGGCCCTGTTGTAAACATTGTGACACAATAGGCAAGCTGCTATGACACAAAGCACGCTAATCTTCTGAAGTCATATATCTGGGGGGGCTCATTATGAACTGACACGCCTCTCTGACACAACCACGCCTCTCCTTTCACAAGGAGATCCTGCGGTTGGCTGTTTAAAGGACAGCAAATGTATATAAGTGGCACGGGGCACAGTCTGGTTGGGTTACAGCGCAGTCCCACACGCAACACTGAATCTGGATCAGGGGCTTATCAGGTCCGCCTTCAACCACAGAATTCAAGCCTCCACTGTTTTAACCTCTTATTTAAATTGCATTGTATACAAGTGGCAAATAGACTTACATATACAATTGAAAAAATATAACAAAAAGTCACAATCAGTGAAGTAGCTGTCTACATTTACAGAGTTAGCGAAGCAGGATTTCAAACACTGGATGGGGTTTTCGAGTGCTACCTGTCATCGACTGCCTTGTAGGCAGCAATACACTATAACTGTAAAACTCGAAAACCCAACACACAGGAGGCTGGCTGACTGTGCAGTTAGGCACTGAAACACATTGACAGTGTCGCCCCCTGCATTTCGCATGTGGTATTACCCAGGGGTGAGCACCAAAAGCCGGCACTTGCTGGGACTCAGGCCAGTGTTCATCTGACTCTCCAGCAGAGAAGACAGGTATCGCTGAAAGTGCGCTCTGCAGAACACCTCGTGTCTGTCCAGGGGGGGACGGTACACCATCCACCTGTGGGCCATCATAGCACAGCACTGACGCTTATGATGGCAGAGGCAATAAATTGAAAAGACAAAGAAGGGCTTCCGCGTGAAAGCTGACATTCAATATTAATGTCCCCTACCTTCCATAAGACTTATTCAGATTCATCAAGAAGTTACAGAGGTTGTCCTTACAGCTGCCGGGAATCCCAGTTAGAATGGTCATCACAATCTGTAGAAACAGAAACACACACACACAAACACAACGTGTCATACACACATATTCCCCCCCCCCGCCGTAGTGGCCATTCCCCAGACGGGACACGGCAGACACACCTTGCAGTCTCGGGCGTGCTGATGAGGGGGGGTCTCCCTTCGGCTGAAGAGGACTTCCAGGTGGTTTCTCTGCACTACTTCCTGGCCCAGGCTGCTGAGGGCAAAGTGCTGCAGGAACCTGGGGGAACATGAAGATTGTAAGGGCAGTCGTGCTGGAAAACACACACTGAACCACTGCACCCTGCAGAAAACAACCAGGGACCATGACAGGAGAGTCTCACACCACGCACCAACATCTGTATCACAGTAGATCATTCTCAGTCCTGCAGAATGTTACACACATTGAGCAGAACGGCGACAGAACGGCAGAGTAAGAGAAAGAGAGGGCAAAGCATACAGGTGATGGGCTACGTACGCTTCGAGCTCTGGGGGCGCTGTGCTGGAGACCTTCAGGGAGCCACTGGGCAGTGTGGTTAGGGGGGCGTGACTTTTACACAGGCGGTCAAGTCGGCAAAGCCTGTAGGAGAAAGTACATGAAGGGGGAGATCATCGTACCCCAAAGGGCCATCACACCCCGATGGGGCTTAAACTTCACTGATTTGGCATAAAGCTCACACATCTGCAAGACAGCTTGGTGGCTCACATGATTTTCTGCTCGGGGGTCAGCTGATCCCTGCTGACTGTCTGGACAATCTGCCCGACGTCACATTTCTGCCGCAACCACACGGGGAGCACCTGCGGCACAGCGGCAGGCATGAGGATAGGGGAGATGGGCGGGGCCAACTGCTTTCGGGGACCGTTCCCATTAATGATGGGGAGAAGCTTTTACTCACAAGGACATGTAGCTGCATTGACAGACTACTGCATGAAACATGAATCATACGTGTTAGAATACCTAAAGGTTTTTATCTGAACACACACGAGGCCAGCTCAAGGCCATCAACGGATCACGGCTCCCTTTACTGTCTCTCAACAGCAGCTCCTACCTGTGCACAAAATGACCTGTAGCTATTGGACTTGGCCTGCAAGCCAAAAGCCAGACTGTGGGAGGCGCTACGGAGCTGGAATGGCAGGAAGGGGAGTATGGAACTCTTGCACTCCAGAAAAAGGGCTGCCAGAGTCCTAGACGAGTCCTGTCAGGCACACAAAGAGGACACAAACAAGTTCAAAAATATGCTTCAGTTCCTGAGAAGGTGGAACTTGACACATCTGAGCATATTTCTTTCAATAATGTTCAGTAGCTAAACAGAAAGTGCCTGTCATTTCAAGCAGGGAAATCTCATACATAAAAACAGGGAGCCCAGAAAAAGCCCAGAAGAATCCAGAACATGAGCCGCGTCCCTGGTACCGAAAGGCCTGAAGGTGACTTGGCTGGGGAGCCGGGGCAGCTGCAGAATGGCTGTGGAGTGACAGGGCAGCACCGGGGCAAGAATGAGGCCCGTATTTGAGGCACCATTGGTATTCAGAGCGCACTACTCCGCTGGCCCCGGGGGACGGCCGCTCTTCAAAACAAGCTTTGTTACCAAACCCTTTACGCTACGATAACATGAATGCAAAGTAGCGCTTCATTCCTGCCCCCCAGGAGTCCCTTTCCCTCCACGTTCGGGGCCCTGCCGCTTAAGAGCACAAAGAGCCTCGGCTTCCGTGTTTGCGCTGCTGACAGCTGAGGCGTTTCCGAGCGTCTGCGTCCGCGGGGCCCGTGAGAGACGCCGTCGAGACTTGGAAACGCCGAGCCCGATTAGAGCCAACACACAGCTCCGTGGCATCCAAACACAGCCACCTTCGGCGCAATAAAGCGCCGTGGAGCTCGGCTCCAAATGACCTCATACAAAACCGGTCACTATGTAGCTGTGTTCATTTGCTTTGGGGCTGTCCTGTGTGTCACAGCACAGAATTTGCTCATTTCCACTTAAAACTAAGAACAATGCACAGAATTCAGCAGTAAGAATGCTGCACCCAGCCATAATGATGGCTCCCCCGTGATACAATATACCAAACAGGGGGGTTCGCCGTGATATATTTTGGGGAACAAAAATACAGCGATATACCCAAAATACTGTGATATGCCACAAGTACCACGGGATACTGCATTACCGTAACACTACTCCAGCCTAGGTCTTAATACCCATGGAGAGCTTTGCACGCTCTGTAATATCCATGACTCATTCTCAATAGCAGTATCTGTAAAGTACGGTGTAATTACAAGGAAGGTCCTTCAATAAACCAGAAAATGGCAGAAACATGTCACCTACCCCTTGGTAAAATTTAAGGCCACAGATGAGGTTCCTTGGCAAGGTCACACTGCCATATTGAGGATGGACAAAGAGGATCCCCTCGGAGAAGAAGCTGATTTTACCTGCAATTGAAGATTACACAAATGCAGATGATCTGAATGATCTGTTAACTCCACACAATATGTGGGCTAGCTTTCCCCAGTACACTTTTGAAAATGCTCTTTTGAATAACACTGGTGTTTTTGCATGTGTGTATCTCCAATGTATGTGTTTTCCTGAGTATGCAAGAAGCCATAACTGTATAACTGTCGCGCTCACAATCGTCAGTCATATTAGGACTGCTCATGTCACCTCTACATTGCCTGAAGGCTTGTACTTCATGCTGGCAGACTGACAAGCAGCCTCAGAAATCTGTGAAGCACACAGACTTCAGCATGCTGTGGGCATGTGTCACTGGTGTAACACATACTGTACTTTGCCAGTGACTGGCACACTGTGTGAAAGACAGCACTGAAAAGTAGGTTTCTCAGTCAGGTTGGCACTGCAGTGAGCAGGAAAGAGCCTTACCTTCCTCAGCAGTGGTCAGTAGGTCACTGGAGGACATCAGGGCTGTGTCCCCTGCTGACAGCACCACTCCAAGGCAGGTTTCTTCTTCCTGCTGTGAAATACACACAAAAATATACAAAATCGAAGACGCACACGCACATTGGTATTCATACTGTATGTGGAGCTGCAGAGCAATTAAAATCATGCTTTGACTCGACAGACTGCAATGTTTTCAAAACTGCTACTAGCAGCTTGGATGAATACATGGACACTGTAAAATCATACATAAGCTTCTGTGAGGACTCTTGCATTCCCAAGAAGTCCGTTGTCAGGTACTGTATAACAATGACAAACCATGGTTTGCAGCTGAACTCAGGCAGCTTCTTAAAACAAAAGATGAAGCCTACAGGAGTGGTGACAAAAACCTGTTTAAAAATGCGAAGCGCAAACTGGAAAAGGCGATCAAAGCTGCCAAGGTGGATTTTGCTAAAAAAAAACTGGAAAATCAGTTTTCAACCAACAAGCCATCTACAGTCTGGAAAGTAATGCAGACATTAACCAACTACAAAAAGAAAAATGCCACCCAGCTACCATCAACTGCCCAATACAGTAAATGAATTCTACTGAAAAGCCACATTCACGCATCATACAGCCCTCGCCTTCACAGCCCTCGCCTTCACAGCCCTCGCCTTTTCATTGGCCTTCTTCACACCTGGGCTCCTTCACACCTGGGCTCCTTCACACCTGGGCTCCTTCACACCTCGCCCACACTCTCCCCAACTCATTCAGGAGTCAGAATACAAGGAAAGCTCCTGGTCCAGACTCTGTCTCCCCAGCCACTCTGAAGCACTGTGCAGATCAACTGTCACCTGTCTTCACAGATATTTTCAACCAGTCCCTGGGTCTTTGTGTTGTTCCAGCCTGTTTTAAATCATCCATAATAACACCTGTTCCAAAGGAACCCAGAGTCTCTTGCCTCACTGACTACAGACTAGTGGCTCTCACATCTGTGGTTATGAAGGTTTTTGAGAGACTTGTGCTATCATACCTTAAAACCATCACGGACCCATTGCTCGACCCCCTACAGACCTGCATACAGAACCAATAGATCTGTGGACGTCACAGTTAACATTGGACTCCATTTCATGCTTCAACACTTGGGACTGTCTTGAGACATATGTTAGGATTCTGTTTGTGAACTTTAGCTCTGCATTTAATACTATTCTCCCAGAGCTAATGCGGACTAAACTCTCACAACTGTCTGTGCCTGAACTAGGAATCGACCAATATTGTTTTTTCAGGGCCGATGCCGATACTGATTATTGCTAGTTAATGATTACCGATAGCCGATATTTGGAACCGATATACAGTACTGTGCAAAAGTCTTAGGCAGGCAAAGAAAATTATGTTTAGATTATCCTCGTGTTGGTGTAAAACTATGATATTATGCCTGTCAAAGTGTATCAGCGTAGCCATTTCAGAACCTCTGCTAAAATCACCCCAGTATTTGCAGGGACAGTCCAGTGCAGCCATGCATTTTTTGACTTGGCCACTAGCACACCTCACACAGCTAGTCAATCTGTCACTGACTTTTTAAAGAAATGTATTTAATTATTTAATTGAGCTGTTGGTGAAATTTAACAAAATCATGGAACGGCTGAGGTGCCCCTTAGGAGAAGTTTGGGAACTAAGACTTTTGCACAGTACTGTATATAAATTTACAGTAAAAATGAAAATCTCTGAAAACTCCAACACAAAATATTGCCTTTATCACTAATCTTTTTTTTTTTACATTAAATTTGGTGTTTTCTTTGCATCCATCTGCAATGAGAAGTAATAAGAATGAGAAGTAATTATAGTAAGGCTGCTCTATTTAAAGTCAATGTTAAATTGACTTGTAAATGTTAAATTAATGGCAAAATTATTCATTATACAAACAAAAAGTGTTTACTTTTTAGATTCTTAAGTATTCATAATAGAGTTGCTATAAATAAAGCATCTAATAAAAACTATAAGTCTGAGCTGGACAAATCAAATTAAAAGATTTAAAATGAAAAGGTTTTAATTCATTTTGCTTAATTACATAATAGAGAATGAGAAAATGTTGATAGGTCGACAGTCCTTCAAATTCTGCAATGTGCAGACATTATTTCATTTGTCTAGTCATTTATATTGATGTTAATTCTAGCACCAACTCGTATGGAGGATTAATGTACGTACTGCACGGGTTTAGGTGCTTAGAGCTTGATCATAATATGATTTGCTAACACTTTTTGTACTCATAAGGTTTTTTTATATTCAGCTATGGACCGCTTCATGTTTGAACATGACTGTTTCAAGGTGTTTCTTGTGTATACAGCTGATTAAAAATGGCGATTTTTTGCGTGTTGGTGAAAGTAGGGGTGGACAAGTATTTTTTAAAATTTCATAAGCCCTGGTGATTCTATTGTTAACACTTGGTTATTACAGGTACTAACAATGCATGCACATCCCACTGCATGCTCACATTATCACTGCAACAAAGTCCGTTATTCTGACATTTCAGCGCTATAACCGGGAAGGCTTTTCATTATGGAAACAGCTCACAAGAGCTATGTTGTGTGGAGGATTGTATAGTTTTCACTTGGGAAATATGAGCTGCTTTTCCTTCAGTCCTCAGTAAGGTCTCACGCTCCGCTGCTCTCCTCTTCTCCTTGATGCTTCACGCTGTGCTTGAGTGACGTGTATGAGTGACAGCGAGGCTTCAGTGGTGATTGGCTATTAATCGTATGTCATCTAGCCAATCAGAGATTGTTATGGGTGGGACTTTAAATGAAGCAGCGCGGTTCCTCAGGCACAGAGGAAGAGACGGTAACGGAGCCGCATTAGCGCACTTTGTAATAATATCGGTTATCGGTAAAATAAAACGCAGATATCAATAATCAGCAAAATCCTAATATTGATTCCTAGCTTGAACCGCTACAGCTTCCTCACAAACAGAACACAATGTGTGAGAATGGGCAAACACACCTCAGAACCATGAACCATCAGCACCAGAGCACCACAGGGCTGCGTGCTTTCTCCTTTGCTCTTCTCTCTGTACACAAACAACTGCACATCAGGGGACCCCACTGTAAAACTCATTAAGTTTGTAGATGACATAACCCTGATTGGACTGATTCAGAACAGCGACGAGTCAGCATACAGAGAGGAGATCAAGCAGTTGACGACATGGTGTTGTTCATATAACCTGGAACTTAATGCCCAAAAAACTGTTGAGATGGTGGTGGACTTCAGGCAAAATCCCCCACCTAGTGTCCCACCCATAACCATACAAGGCTCAACTGTCAGCCCTGTTGAATCTTTTAAATTCCTAGGGCCTACAATTTCCCACGACATGAAATGGCAGCTCAACATCACCTCCATCACAAAGAGAGCCCAGCAGAGGATTTACTTTCTGAGGCAGTTAAAAATGCACCATCTCTCTTATTCTATGGTGGTCCAGTTTTACGCTGCAATCATTGAGTCCATCCTCACCTCCTCTATCACAGCCTGGTTTGGATCAGCCACTGAACGAGAGAAGGCCAGACTGCAACACATCATCCACTCAGCAGAGCGAATAATCGGCAGTAACCTGCCTACCCTCCAGACACTGTACATCACCAGAACCAGGAAACGGGCATACAAAATCTTTGAGGACCCATCTCACCCTGCTCACCACATCTTTCAAGCCTTACCCTCCAGGAGAAGACTCATGGCAATCAGAACCAAGACCACAAGACAGGCCAAGAGCTTCTTCCCTCAGGCAGTGTCTCTCATTAACCAAACCAGCCTCTGAATGGACGTTCAATTAACCATCACCTCTACGATTAGATTCTAAACTCTTGCACATTGTGCACAGATACTGCTAACTCTGTATACATATTGCTTTCTCACACATATAGAGTTGACTTGGCTGCTACTTAAGAGCCCTTAATTATAATTTATTATATCATATATATAGTTTATATTCATATAGTTTTATATTCATACTACAATTATTACTACGTACATACATACACTTACATAATTACGTTTAATTATATAATTATCATCATTACTGCTACTGTTAAAATTAATTACCATGTAATTATTACATTACCCAATTGCCAATCTAGTGTTTATTACTTTTCTGTATATACCTTTACTAATTGTTGTATGTTTTTTGTAATGTCTTCTAAAGGCACCACCAAGGCAAATTCCTTGTATGGAAACATACTTGGCTAATAAAAAGGTTTCTGATTCTGATTTCTTTGTGGGGACCATCCATTCATTTCAGTGGGAAAAACCCAAATCACGACAATGACAACCTTAACCCCTACCCAGCCATAACCTTAACCATAAGTAACGAAATGGAAATACAAGACTTTTGACATTTTTAGTCATAGATTGCAGTGACAGATTTTTATAAAATTTTGTTTCCCTAAATGATGGACTACAACATAGAATGTGTACTGTATATCAGTGTGCCTAAGTCTGCCACCCTTGAAGGCCACCAGCAGGGGAAATTCTCCCTAGTGGGGAGGGAAAAACTGGTCCCCACAACGTCAAAAAGTTTTTATCACATTGTGGGGACTTTTGATCCCTATGACATAATATATAAATAACACGCAGATAAACACACATACACACAAGCGCACACATATACAGTAGACACACCTACACACACACACACACATATGACAGCTCAGAAGTGTTACACAGGATACTGCTAAAATTCTTGTGTTCCTTGGGTGGTACCAACCATTGCTGATCATGTTAAAGCAGCTTAACGGTTTGTTTCCTTACAGGGACCTGAGGTGTTGCTGCTCCTACCTTCAACAGCTGCTGAACACATTCGGAGAGCTTCACATCACACTCGTCCACCTGAAACACACGCAACGCAGCAAGAGGCCTTTATAACAGGCCTTATAACACAGTTACGCACTTTACGATTTCCTAACATACTGTACAGAACAATTTAGCACTGCTATCTGTCAATCCATCCATCTTTGAGTGGCGTATCTGGTCAGTGTTGTGTGGAAGCTCACACAGGGGGAGTGGGGTTATCCCAGGCAGCATATGAAACAAGGTTTGGCTACACCCAGGATGGGATGCCAGTCTATTGCAGGGCACATACACTTACACAGAATTTGATACCGTGGCAATTTAGAGACACTAGTTACCCTAGCTGCATGCCTTTGGACTGTGGGAGGAAACCAAAGTTCCCAGAGGAAACCTACACCTGAGATCATACAAACCCCACACATAATTATTCCTTATTGAAAATGTTGCTGTGTTATAAAGGAATCTGTCATCAGCCTCGGGGAGAAACAGAGAGCAGGGGTCCCCAAGTAAAGAAGAAAACACTAACCAGCCAGGAGACATAGCGCGGGATGTCAGCGGTCAGGATGGTGAAGTGGCTATCTCGCGAAACACTGCCATCTACAGGAACGACCCAACAGATGTCACATGCCACACAGACTACCAGCCAATCGAATGCTAATGAAGGCCGGATTTACATAGACTGTGCAACGTATCTGATTGGAAGAGTCCCATTTCACTTCTCTCCCATCTTTCTCCAGGTTGTGATGTTTATGTGAGGCAGGCGTTACCTTGCTCCTGGACGTAGAGGCAGGATTCCAGGAAAGACTCTGAGAAGACGAGGGAGCCGAGGACCTCTCTACCCTCCAGAGGGTGAGGAATGTCATAGACTGCCATGAAGGCCTGTGAGGAGAGAGCAGACTTCTCCATGAAGCACACTTAGGGGATTACTAAATCAGCATCAACCTATATAACTGAAAGGCCTTTCCAGAGGCAGTAAAAATATATATGATGATAACTTATGCCTTAGTATATGCCCCATAAGGTTAGACGCGATCGATCACTTACAGTTTTCACCATGAACCTGCTCTCTACACTTTCCAGGGGAATTACTCTGTGAAAAATGTAAATAATTGCAGGTTAAAATGATGATAGACAGGAATGATGGACTACAACATAGAATGTGTATATCAGTGCCTAAGTCTGCCACCCTTGCCGTCCCCCAGCAGGGGAAATCCCATTGCTCATATCATTCATGAATAAAGTCTCATTTTCACTGAGAGATGTGTTTGCGTCAAGAGTACATGCAGAATGTACCAACCTTCCTTCATTATTTACAGCTTGAATGTTGAATATGGTTTTCGATCTGTAAAAATATCACAAATATCACTTTTTCCTGAAGTTACAAGTCACAACACAATACATCATAAAACCGATCTCTCTGTGTGGGGGGGGGTGTGTAGAGAAATACAATATCTAAACATCTCTTAACCCAGGCCAACTGAAAGACTAGCCTGGAAGGAAACAATCCCCCAATGTACAAGTAAGCTTTTAACCCGTAGCCCTGGAATATGGAAATGACATTACCATGGGAAGAGCCATTGGAAATAAGAGATTGTAAGCTGTTTTAGAAAAAAAGTGCTATCATGATCTACACAGCAAGTTAGTGCATACATCTGTTTGATTGCCTAGTTAAATGTATAAAAACATATAAAGCATGAATTTCCCAACTGCGATATTCTGAATGAATCCAGATTGATGGACTTTGGAGAGTTAGTCAGAAAACCCATGTCTTTAATTCACAGTAAATGACATATGAACAGAAAGCATTTAGCTTCCACTAAACAAAAGCATTGTTCTGCTCAATTGATGTTTGTTTAATAGAACTTAGTCGAATAGAAAAACGGTCTCAAGGCGGCTTTAATGAAATCCAGTTTTAACCTTTTTGAGGTAACACGATGGCGAGGAAAAATCTGGCAAGAAGGCAAATTCGACTACCAAGATAGTCAAGATCATCTGCAGTCAAAGTTCATTAAGCACTAAATTAAGGAGATTCGTAAGAAGCACCATGTGCCGGGAGGATTAGGGCATGACTCACAGGAGAGAGCTTTTATACTGGGTCAGACCGTGTGCATCTAAGGACAGCTGAAAGCTCTGCTCTGCTGCATCCCATGCCTGTGGAAGGGACAGAGGTCAAACCTTTACTTGTAATTCAAGCAGGACATGCAAGAGGGCTGCAGGATAGACAGAGAGATGGACAGACAGTCAGATAGACAGAAAGAGGGACAGCGTCAGTCAGACAGAAGGACAGACACGCAGACAGAGTGAAAATACATGTACAGAAGTAATGATTCACAGTTTGCCTCAGGTGGCAAGAGTTTGAGAACAAGAGTCATTATGGAGTCTGACTGTCACTGGCTGTAAAGAGCAGCACACCTGACAGTGTCTGTTACCAAAGGGTCTCCTTCACATGGCCAGTATGACGTGCAAAAAACATCACCTAAAATGTTGAGTAATTTATTAAGTGTCCCTTCCTTTGGCGAGACCAAATGAGTAGAAAATATACCTCAGTACTTTTATGAAGAATTGGATGTCCGGGTTGTGCACGTGGACACAGACTACAAGCTGCAGGCCTGTGAGAGCTCACCTTGGTGGTGCTGAAGGTGTTACAGTAGCATCTGATGCCAGTCAGCACTGCTTGGACCATGGTGCTGTACAGCTCAGACAGAAGCCTACGAGTACAAACAATGCTGTTAGGGTGTCACATCTTACAGCAAAGTGTTTAGGGTCATAATATACCCATCTATTTATACACTGATACACAGAAACACACACGATCACTTTGGTCATTGACAGACGCGTACACTGTATACCTTGCCTACAAGGGGCCCAGTTTGCTGTTTGAGGCCATAACGGAAAGCGGCACTTACGTTATTTCTGTCCTCTTGTGGGACTTGCTGCCATTCCCTGTGAGGACATGAATGAGGAGACCTTATGAGACACTACCTTCTGACACACTGACTGGTGTTTAACAGCTACCACCTTTATTTGCTGTATTGAGGAAATGATTTCATCAACATTTCATAAAGGTAGCGAACTGGAAATACTGTTCTTCAGCTTCTCCTTCCATTTTACCATGATGATAACAAACTTGGCTTGTTGCAGTACTGCTATGCAGCAAGTGCTATAAAGGTCAGAAGCTGATGTCAACTCAAGCAGTTGAACTCCCTGTTTAAGAAGACAGCATTGTCACTGACCTCTTGTCATCAGCTGTCTGCATTTCAATGCCAAAGCTAAATAACATTTATTTCTCAATATAGTCAAACATAGGCATGGGGTGCAACATAAACTAATCACTTTTTAGAGGGTGGGGAGGGACCAGTCAAGAGATCCTGTGAAAGCCAAATGTATGTATGATGTGATGATTTTAAAATCAATTCCAGTCTTTATCAAATGATGTGCATTTAACAATAAATATATATGTTAAAAAAACCTCTTCATTATGACTTTTATTTTGATTTAGAAATGAAATAGTAGTGCTAAACAAGTTAATGGTGTACTGTTAACGTTAACTAAAGGGCAACTAAAGGGCAACTAACCTAAATAAGGAGTGTGGGTGGTCCCAAAAAAGTAGGTCCGAGCACATGCCAGAGGGCCCTCTGGTGACACACACTGTACTACCTGGGAGTGAGAAGAAAAGGTTAGCTGTCAGAGAGCCTGTGTCACGCACACACACACACACACACACACACACACACAGACAAACAGGTTTGTAATTATATCTTTGTGGGGACTCTCCATTCATTTATATGGGAAAAACTCCAATCCCAACATGGTGACCTTAACCCCGGCCCAGCCGTAACCTTAAACATAAGTAACTAAATAAAATATGAGTAATGCTGAATAGGACAGGTGATAACAGAAAATGGATGGTAGGGTTCATAAACATCAAAATAATGTCTTCAGGGCCAAACCGTGGTATATGCGGGTTAATGCACTCTTGCCTCTGTAGCAGTGACCCTTAGTTATCCCACAACGATGGCCAACCTTGAGAGTATTACAGGTCTGGCACTTGGTATCGCTCTGGTCTGTCTGACCGGCATCCTCACCATGTGCTTGGCTGCCGTCCCCTGGGGGCCTGTGTTCCGCACCTGGTGGCTCTCGGAGGGGAAGCTGAAGCAGTAACTGTCCATGTGCTCCCTGGTAGAGTGGCCTCCAAAGAGCACGAAGGGCTGTCGGCTGTTACTGTCCCGAGAAACCATGGGCACCGTGTAAGACTCACCCCGGAAGCCCCCACCTGCCATAGGAGGTACGGCCAGCAGAGACCCAGTCATTTCATTTGGTTCATAGGTGGGTGTGCAGGCAGCACTGTTACCTTGTGATTTGGCGGGAAATGAGGCCATGGGAGAAATAAGTCCGGAATGGCTGTGAATTCAAGAAGACACTGTAAATTAGGAAACCATAGTATTCACCAGCGTATATAGTTTTTACATAATCCAAATATTACATAGCTCACCAAATATTACAGTTCACATCTGGCCAGCTGACTGATGTGACTGTGATTCCGTAGGCAGGCAATTATTAATCGACTGAAATATACTTGAATTTGGAGGGACCACATTTGGCAGAAATTGCTCCGTATCTATGCATTTTTTTTTCCTCTTTTTAACTCTGTACAGCGTTTTTTTGGCAGATCTGTCCACCACTTGGCAGGCTTTTTCAAATCTTTCCGTTAATTCACAGATTTTGACAAAGACAGTGAAGGTCATGCTGTTCCTTATGCATGAATCACTCCAGGGCAGCTATGGCCTTTGACTTTATATCTGAATGATAGGTCAGGTTTTCTCTAGCTGACTGAAAAATATTTTCCTTTAGTCACTTCCTGTCACTTTTGCCCAGTTTTTAGACATTTCAATCTTCTGCTGCAGAGAAATATCATAACTTTGAAGTGTTCTGGACATTTCTGAATATTTCTTCCAACTCAACCTCTGTACACTATCGCTCTTTCAAGGTTCAAAGCTCCCTCTCTGACTCCAGTCCAGAGTTGAACCCTAATGCGAAAATGTGCAAATCCTTGACAGTCCATGGTGCTTTGTTTAGATAGATGTGTGTGGAGTAGCTCTGTCACTGTACATGTATTCCTTATGTACCATTCGGTGCACCATTTTCGGTTTGGTACGCCCAATGAAATGAATTAATACATTTATTGAAATTGGCGGGACTTAAATTCACAAGCAGATGTTCAACACATCGACAAACATGGAGCAATACAGTTAGATTAGTCCAAATTCCACCTCAACACAACTCAAATCACTACACAAAGTAGCAGTGAATGAGAGGATCCCCAAAGCTTTGGTAGGAGAGGCTTTTACAAAATTAAAGTACTTCTGGTAGTGAAGATGTTGTGCCGCAGACATAAATACAATTATAATCTATTGCACAAAAACCCCTTCAAGACCAAGGGCCTGACATATAAATTACATTACCTCCCCGGCCTGGGCTTCAGAAAGCTCCAAGATGGTTGAGTAGCTCTCTATAGCAAAGTTGGAGAAAAAGCTGGTCCACTGTTTCTCAAATGTCACCAAATCCTGAAGAGCAAAAGATGGGGTAGATATTCTTTCGCAGTGTAAGTCACTTACCAGCTATTTTATAATGTGCATCAGAATGTACATTCATGGCATTTTACTGGCTCAAAAATGTTGTAGCGAAAAACAAAATTTCTGGAGTTTTGATTTTGGTGGGTGTTCCAGACTGCAGGGGAGATTGTCTCCCTCTGCTGGTCAAAACAGCATTGTACGCCTTTGCAGAGTAACCATGAATATACTAGTTGGCCTACCTCTGTCAACAGGATGTCCAGGGAAATAGGATCCATTCTGCTGTAGGTTTGCCAGAGCTTCTCACTCATGTCAATCAGCTCAAAATCCAAGCAACAAGAAAAGTGAATTATAACATAATTTCACCTTTGCATTCTGAGTGAACAGAACCCCTTAGATAGTAAGAGCACACGGTATATTTGAAATGTTATCACTACACAAATCACTCCATATCCTAAACATTCGGAGTCTGGAAGAGGCTTGTGGGCATCATGATCCATCTTATATGATCCGAGCAGTGTTGGGAAGGTTACTTTTGAAATGTAATAAGTTAAAGTTACTAGTCACCTAATTGAAAAAGTAATATAGCTATTTTTATTACTTCATCAAAGTAATAGAATAATTAAATTTGATTACTTTTCTAACAAATTCTTAAACTGGCCATCAATGCTGAACAGCCCCAACAGCTTTTCTGAAAAGATGCAAAGCAGCAAAATGAATGTTACATTCTATATATAAGCCTTTTTACCGAAAACAATATATTCGGATTTAACCCTTTGTAATCAGCAACATTTTGATTAGTAACTGTAATTTAACTATATGTTTTTTTCTGAGTAACTGCAACATATTACAATTACACTTATTTTGTAATTTCATTACGCAACGCTGTTACATGTAAAAAGTTACTTCCCAACATTTGGTCTGAGTGTACAGAGCAAATAAACAGACTTTTCTATGTTAATGACAGAAACTGGCTTCATGCTTCATGTATAATAGCTAAGTGTTTACTGTATTGTCTGGAAACAATTCAGGTTCATAATTTCTATCTATGCTTTTGCATATATAGGGAGGATAGAAGAAATTTAATTTTTTCAAATGATCAACTGGTTGGAAGTGCTGCTGTTCTAATCTTTTTTTCATGTGTATCTAAAGCAGACTAAGCAGCATGTAGCCATGGGAGGAGGGTACCTTATGTTTCGTGGTGAAAAAGCCCCCGCCCCCGATGCCCTCCAGGGCGTAGGCTTGAATGATTGGCCACTTCTCAACAAGGAACATGTCAAACTTCTGCACGTGACCTGAAATGTCACACAGTGTCCATTACAAGGCCGGAAACATGCAGGTAGGCTGCCTTTGTGTCCTGTAGCAGTGCCAACAGCACCATTTACATACAGTAGCTATTCCGGTCGATGGCTCCTGACCCTTCATGTACAGTGCTCACAGAAAGTTTTGGGAAGCTGAACTTTTGGAAAAAATGGTGCAAAAGAATTGTTTTCCTCACAACAACCCATTGACAAGCAATATTTAACACATTTGCACATATTTTCCGCACAGACATTTTCATTTTATTATAGGTCATAATATTTTTGTCTGACTCATTCCATTCTGTTCTTGCCATCTGTAGTCACTGGCTTCCAAAGGGATACTAAACACAAATTGTTGGTGTACACAACTGAATAAAGTTTGTTATAAAATCAATATATCTCCAATATTTTTACAGAATTAGCACTGTATATGTATTACCTTGGGAGCTGTAGGGCACCCCGATGTGACTGCAGTCCTGCACCATCTTCACGAAGCTGGAGATCTTGAACTCCTCTGCAGCTTCCTCATCCTCATACTGCGTGTGAGGGATGGATGAAGCAGCGTGACACACATGTGCTACCACACATCTTCATGATGATCACACCACATGCCACACCATATACCCGCACGTCCAACTACTCTGCACCAAAGTACTTCATTCTTTCATATATTTATGAAAGAATGTTAGTGTCACTATGTGCAGGTTCTTCAACACAGTGTCTAAGGTTTCACATATTACAATTATGACAATATATATTTATATATTTAATATTTAAAACACTTAATAAAATGTCATTTTAAGATCCTTCATCACCAGGTTTACAGACTTCTCAATATAGCCTATCACCATCTTTGGCAGCAATCCAAAGAAAGAAGCTGCTTTGGTGATCGGTGCAAATACATAAACTATGTATTTAAATAGGTCTATATTGCTCACAGAATGTCAGTATAGGACAGAAAATTAGAGCGATTAGCAAACAGCAGTGCTGTGCTCAAGAACATTTGCATTAATTTAAGAAAGCGGTATCTGTGCCTCATTGCGGGTGTATTTAGACTTTATGGTCAACTTTGGTGGTAGATTATTCCCTTCAAATGTTATAAAGAAATGCTTCAGGTTTTTATGGTCCTGAATATTTGCTGTTAATTTTGTTTATGTGAAACTTTCATTAACATTGAAAAGAAACATAAAACTTTCTTGTGTACTGCATCTGTTATACACTATATTACCAAAAGTATTGGGACACCTGCCTTTACACACACGTTTCATTACTTGTGCTATGTAGCTCATATATACCATGTCTTCGACAATCCCTGGTAAAATGGCCACTATGCACAAATTGTGTAGCTTAATACAACTCATTACACTTTATGACAATTGCAATCTTTAGCAGTTATCACTGTTATTATATAAGGAAGTAATTAAATTCATTACAGAGTGGATGTCAAGTAGAGAGCATTTGTGTCTGCAGTATAACTAAAATAACTACTACACTATAATTCAATGTCTATGGGGTTTGAAATTTATCCTAATCTAGAAACCTACGAGGAAATTTCAACAGCCGGAAAAAGGCACCTAGCAGGAATACTCTCTTAAGCTAAGAGAAGGCTGTGATCCTCTTACGTCTTCTGAGTAAACAATCGCCAACCTCTGTGGGCTGGAGAAGACATTAACAGCCTGTTTAAGGCTTTTTAAAAACAACATGCTGAAATCAAAAATGTAATAAATGGTTCAGCATTAGGGCTGTAACAGTACATATAATTGTCGTACACTGTTCAGTCTATCATTTCCAGTTTGGTATGCACATTTTGACAAGCAAATACATTTATTAACATAGAACCTAAATTCACAAGCAGATGTTGAAGATTATATTAATTGTGAGTGAGTTGGCTATGGCTAATGCGGGTTATAGTTATAAACGGCAGTTTTGCAACATTTTGGTTTACCAATAGATTAAAGCAGCTCCAGAGTAGTTGATAAGAACAGGACTGTCTGCCGGCTCTGTAATACCAAACTCGGATATGTTACTGCAAACACATACAATGTGCTAGTTCATTTAGGACAATATCATCCAAGTATGTGTACGACCAGAGCACGGCAGAAAGTTAGTCGCCCCATGGCATTTAAGGTGTTTTTCTTAGTTCATTATGATTCTTATGATGTTTTATACACACACATACACACACACATGCACATTTTATGAGTTTACATATGTACGTTTACTATGTGCTAATGTGCATCTCTTATTCAAGTTTTGTTACTCAGATATGTCGACAGACATATTGCCTTTGACTTACAACTATTTATAATTGTGTTTTTACTTGCAAATTTAACAATAAATAATTTCAAAATAAACTGTTTTTCTTGAAATTACACCGAACCAGGAACCGATACCCAAAGTCTGTACCAAACTGTGAATTTTGTATACCTTTACACCCTGTTGGTTCAACCAAAACACGAAAAAGCTGATTGGAAATGAGGAAATGACTAAGTACTAGAATGTACTGTAGCAGGTGATATTTCAGTAACTACTGGAAGAGACATGCATGAAGTAAATTTTGTTTTGGTAAATGCTCCATGAAGTGATAACAGTTTATATTGTATTTTAATGACTGGATATAATGAGATTTTCTTGCTTACCTCTGCCTCAGTCATACAGTGGATATGCAAGTTTCTCCAGTGGGAGATGTATGGCAGAAGGGAAGTGTAATTAACTGGGTTACAATACAGGTGTACGCTGTCAGCCTTGATGAGAAGGATCACATCTGGCAAGGAAAGCGGTAACAATGCATTATGCTTAGCTAAAGTATAGTACAGTAAATTATTCACAGCTTTCCTGAAACTGAAAGTTGAACATTTTTCATAGATTCTCGTTTTAGGCTGTAAGTTGGGATTGAGGTATTCACTGACTTTGACTTTCACTTTCTAAAATAGTTTGACCAATGGTTGGCATTGCCAACACCATATCCAGTATTAGCTTTCGTGCAAAGACACGTGAGCCAGTCTTTAAAAATAAGCAAACCAACAAATAAATAAACTTGACTGATAACATTAACTATGAATTATTGTTTACACAGCTAGGAACAGAAAATGTTACTAAAAAATACAATCTGGGTACATAAACACACTGCACACTGATTGGGTGTAAACACATAACCAGTCAGGGGTATCATGCACAATTCCCAGTCACAACCATTCTTATTGCTGTGGCACATTTAAGATTGTATTGACTGTGTAGGTGAAAGGTGAGGGATCCATACCATCTAGTAGTTCTTCTAAAAATTCTGAGAAGTTTAAGTCCAAGTGGTTTTGCTTGTACAAGTCAAAGAACAAGTAGTTGGCTAGCTCACTGCATCCCAGGTTGTATCTGCTATCAATGCCTGCAGAGAACAAGGACATTATACTGACTTTAGATTTCATCCAAAGGCTCACGCATGTGGACATTCAACAAGTTTTGTGCTCTTCATTAATACACCATAATTACACCAAAGCATACGTTACATTGCTGAGAATATGGATGAACATTTATCTCAGATCACACATCTTATTATCAGAGTGTGACAGAGCATTAACAAGACAAATATATGATTTGTAATATATGCTGATATTATTTAATTGTAGCAACAGTAGTCAATAAAGTACGGAGCCCCTGAAGAACCTGTGCAAAAAAATAAAAAGTTCTTACTTTCACCGAGCGCACGAGATAATTTCGGGTGCGCATGACTTACTTTCGCGTATCTCGTGCGCACACGAAAGTAAGAGCATTTTAATTTTTTTTTTTGCACAGGTCCCTTCAGGGGTTCCGTAATAAAGAAACTATAAATTTATAGTCTTCTTCTAAGACATCTTGGGATGAATCTAATTGTATTTACTCCAGTCGACCACTAGATGGCGACAATGCACAACTGTACATTTTCACAAAAGCGTGAGTAAGGGACAGCTGTCATTGGCACCTCTGCCTCACATCTCCAGGGCAGGAAATATGGCAGGCTGTAGCAGCTGAACAGCATACAAAATAATGAAAATCACAGAAAGCTGTGAAATTCAAATGTGGCTGGACATCTATGGCAGCAGTGATCAGAAAGGTAACAAGTTTGAACCCTAGATGACATACAATTGAACTCTGTCATGCTAACTATCAATAAAGCTAGCTACCAATTGCCATGAGTCTGTTCAACGATGCCTTCAGTGGAGCCAATCAAAAAACATTGAATTACTCTACATCATCGTATACAGGGGTGGAAGAAGAAACTCACCTAGAGAGCATAGAATTCCATCAGGAATGGATTTACCACTGTCCCGCAGGATGGACTGGATGTGACGTAGGCGTAAGGAACTACAGGGGAGGAAAGCGTTTGGGCAGACATGACATGACCGCACACAGAGTGACACTGGTGCAGACAGAGTGACACTGGTGCAGACAGAGTGACACTGGTGCAGACAGAGTGACACTGCACTCTTATGTACACACAAGCTACAGTAAGCAGCACTGTCAAAGCAGGCCTGTCGGGGAGTCCACAATCTGCCTTTGTGTCCTAGACAAGAAGCTTAAAAATCTTAAAATACAGTTCACAGAAGACTACAGTAAATGCAGCTCAGTGATACCCCTTTGCACATCTAAGCTAAATATATATAATAAATTTTAAAGTGTGAAAATATTACATTTTTAGTTGTAATGTTCAACAGCAGATTTGTTTATGTGCCAGCCTTGCATTCTGCCCACAATGAATTAAAGAAAATTTTATGCTGTTCTTGTCTGTTTTTTCTTTTACATAGTTTGTATTTATTGCATATTTTTCATTAGGCTAAACTTATCTAAACCTAAAGTATAGCCTTGGCGACTCTTGCTACATTTAATTTGAGCCTTAAATTCACAGCATCAAGCAAAACAGATAAAAACACAAAGGCACTCATGAGAAACATTTAGATTTGAAGCAGAATTCAAAAGAGAACAAAATCAGCTGGAACCAAAAAGAATTTCTTCCTTATTTCAACAGTTCATGTACACTGAAGACCATAATCATACATAAGACTTATAACACATTCATTACTCACAGTGGGTTACTACAACACCAGTGTTCTGAAACTTATTCTTTTTATTCTCTTTGCAGTTCTTGTGTTTGAGCCTAAATATAACGAGGACCCCAGAGCTTATGTTTAGGTCTCAGGACCTCCTGTGCTTATCTCAGATAGGGAGTGGGGGTTGTTTTTGTTTCCGCACGCCAGTTCCTCTCAGAGCCAAGAATATATCATATTACTACTACGGTAAGGCAAGCCTGGCAGCTTCGGCCCAGCCATTCACACCGGGGGACCTAGGGGAAGACCGCAGCTCACGGGGTAAGCTTCCTGTCCCACAAGCTAGGGGGTTGGAAATATGGCAGCGTAATGAATACAAAGCTTGTTGGGACCAGGAAGCTGTCAGGAAGCTGGCTCTCCCAACATGCCCACTGTTTTCATGACCAATTCTCAAAGTGTATCTGACAGCACCTATTCCCAGCATGAGCGCCACCCTGCACTTCGCTCATGTCTCTTATTTTTACTGTCTTTTGTGTCTATAAATTATTTTATATCAATATATTGTACTGTGTGCATGTTTCTATATCTATCTGTGCATATCTATCTATGACTATGCACATACTCTGATAACAGACAATGTCAGTGACTCGGTGTCATAACAAGTATGTTCTTTGCTAGCTGGCTGGTATAAAACCCTTTGCATCAGTGCCGTGACTGGCCACCGACATTACATCCAGGCAGGATCATTTTGGCCAGGCTACTGCCATATTTTTCTAGTGATCACAGTCTATCTATTTGAATGACAGCATTTCCTCTGAGCTTTCCAGGCAATGCAAGGCTTGATTTCTCCCACTATTAAAATGTACAACAAAACACACTGAACCCGTCATTAGATTCTGCATCACTGCTTCCTTATTTCAGGTTTAATAGGTGATCAATAAGATTTTCCATAAGACTTGCAAAATGATTGACAAACTTGAAGTACAGCCTTTTGTTTTGCAGTACTTGTCACATTTAATTTGAGCCTTAAATTCACAGCATCAAGCAAAACAGTTAAAAACACAAAGGCACTCCTGAGAAACAGGTCCATTTGCAATCAGGGTTGATGTAAGTCCTTCATTTTGAATGATTATATGGGAGTGAGCCATGGACGTGAGGCACAGAAAAAGTTAAAAATACAGTTTAAATACAGTTGTGCAAATGGGTAATGTAATTAAGTGAAAAGTAATACGAAATGAATAGATTTTGGTTTCTGTGCTATAATTGGAGTGCAAAAAGGTAATACTGGGTGTTTTAACAGACGCAAGGCAGAGTATGGCCATGTAATTTTATATTGACAAATATTTTTACTTATTTAAACTGGTCCACATATTATACTTAAGATAGTATTGTTAATAATTTTACTGTCTTAATTGCTTTTCCGTTGTCGTTGATTCCTTTTCAAAACTTTTTAAATTTCATGTAAAACAACTTAAACCGGAGATATTTACAAGACACGTTAACGCTCGCTACCACTGTTGCTTCTTGCATTCCTGCAAAAACTTAAACAAACAGTAAAGCATATAGTACAGTATTGTAAAGCGAACCTATTTTACCAGGATCTACGCTGAAAAACCAAATGCCAGAAAAATACCTAATTAAACTATAATCGTGGCAGTGTGACATTGGGAACACGATCTGAGACTGGAAAAGATGGGCAAGCTTTTAAAGCAACAGATATATTGATAGCAAGTAAATCAGGGGAAAAAATCAACGCCAAAGGAAAACACCTTCATTGTATTGTATGCAATCGCATACAATTTTCTTAAGTTTCCGTCGTTATTAAACATTTTTTTTATTTTAATGTATTTATAACGCTACTAAATAAGGGCAGGCGCAAGCCGATGCGTTGTCAGGGTGATTTATACACAAACAAGCGCCGCCAGCTTGTCACTGACGGATAACGGAATAAAGGTAACGTTAACGACAACGGCACGACGAGCGGCGGGGCTGAGCCGCCCAGCCCGCCGGCATTCTTACAGCCTCTTGCGTCGCGAAAGCGACACCTACACTGTCAACACGCATCTAAAATAACCCCATTAATATGCCTTAATCCGTGTGGATATATGTAGTCTATAAAATCCCACTAAAACAGTCGTAGAATGACTGGCACCAAGCTGCCTGGATAACTGATATGTGGCGGGGAGAGAGAAAAAACCGTGCTCCACTTCCAGAAAAGCATCGTAAAACATAACTGTCAAGACATTTAGGTGTTTTACCTGACCGCAGAGGGCGTGACCTGGTGTATCCCGTTTTTGTTTCGTATTCCAGCCATTTTTGTCAGTCCAAACATTAAAAAATAACGTTTCAAAATGTCATCGCCATTGACAGCCCTAACAAGGGGGCGGGGGTGAACGAAAAGCGCAGCTTGGAAACGGACGATACCATTCACGAGTTTCAGGGGTTTCTTGGATATTTCGGTATTTTGGATTATTGTTACTGTTCATTAGCAAGGTGATTACCGTGCTAATTTAATAAATTCAAGGTTAAATTATCTTATTAATGCTACCTTGGGGATGTTTACTGATTATGTACTAGCCCCCGTAAATTCGTACTCCCCCGGAATAGTTTATGGTTAATTACAACAGGGCCGTTGATGCAACTCGGTGCAATCCAGATGTGCTGATCCGATGGACGTTTGTTTCAGTTCTACATGTGTGCGGTTCACGTAGTCGCGGCAGCGTAGAAGAAGAATCGATAATGCAGTCTAATAACCATAAATGTGTATCTGCATTTACTGTTGTATAGACTTGGTTTTTGATTTTGGATCACAAACGTCCACCCTCAAGGATATTATGTATGTTACATTATAGTAAGGGAAATGTAATCCACTAGTAATGAAATGTAATAAAATCAAGCTTTATTTGCCATTTTTAGAAGTGCATATGGATGTGTCAGTTTTCCAGTATCCCTTATTGCTCTCCTTTTAAAGACAACACATACAGCTCTTGAAAAAAATGAGACCACTATTAAAAAAAAAACAACTCAGCATTTTTATATCCTAGTTTAGTCCTGGTTCTGCTGGCAGAAGGCTACATGGCACGGCAGGCTGCTTCCAAGCTCAAAATTTCTAAGACAGCAGTATACTCGAACAAGGTGAAGCAGGAGACGCTGGAAACAACCAAAAACTATAGCCAGGTAGAGGGCGGAAGCAACTTTCTAATGCCAGAGATGACCATGAACTTATCCGGTAGTGCCTCATGAATCAGAGGGTGACATCATCTAACATCACTGTTAGTACAGTTTACAACAGGCTCCAAGAAGCAGAACTATAAAGTCCCATAAAGCAAGGAAGAAGCCCTTCATCCACGAGAAATAAAGAACCAGGCTGGAGTTTGCAAAAACAAAAAAAATATTATTCACAGGCGCACAACCATAAATTCAGAAATACATGAAACAAAAAAGTTTGCTGTGGTCTCAACATTTTCCAGAGCTGTACAGATGTGAGAACCTATAGCTTGTGATAAGAGCACAGGGTCAAAGGAACTGATCTAAGAACAGATACATCAATCTCCAAACATAGGATGTATAGTACATTACAGTAAGGAAGTGATCTGGAAACAGATATTAACTAATCTGCACAGAGTCTATGCTACATTATACTACTGAATTTGATCTGAGATCAGACATTTCCACCTCCAATCAGGCATGATTCATTATAATAAATGATCAGTGAACAGAGCCTTACACTTTTACATTCAGGGTATATGGTACATTCTATTAAAGAACTGATTTGGGCCCAGATACATCCATCTCCATAGATAGGCTGTATGATACTTTATAATATGGAACTGTACTGAGAGCAAAGAACTCCACTCCCAATCACAAGGTTAATGGTATACAGACTAAGGAAAGGATCTGGAAAGTATGCATTCAACTTCAAAACACAGGGTCTCTGGTGCATTATCTAAGGACCTGATCTGGGAACATGTCAGGGCTCAGCATGGCACAGGCAGGAAAAAGATGACAATCCATTTACGACTCCAAGACAAAAAGGGGTTTATTAAACAAAAATATAATATAAAAGGGGAAACCAGAAAATGTCAATGACAAAACAGGAAATATAAGAATTAACTGAAAGTAACATTAGACCCCTTATGATGAAAAATAACATAGATTCACGTTTTCCCTTGCCTGGACGCAGGTCACCGAGGCCCCCCCTGGAGCCAGGCCTGGGGGTGAGGCCCCCCCTGGAGCCCAGCACCGCTGCTACCAACACGGAGCACAGCGCACCCCCGTCGGGAACTGAAACTCCTACACAATCCTCCAGCTCTGCACCCGTGTCGGCTACTCCAAACCTCTGCCTTCAAACAAAATATACAGTCCGGTCTGCGTGATTTAAATATGGATAGCCCATCCCAGCCCATTTTAATTCATTATCCCAAGCGCGCATTCGGAAAGACACTCAGACGTTTTAGTGCAAGCTGGTTTCAGTCTCGACCATGGCTTGAACATTCTGTTGTCCGTGATGCCAGCTTTTGCTTTGCCTGCCGCAAATTTTGTGTTTCCAATTCGGACCGCGAGGACATATTCACTAAACATGGCTACGCTAATTGGAAAAAAGCTCTAGAAAAAGACGGTGGATTCCACAAACATGCGTCTAGTATCCCGCACGTCAGAGCCATGTCTGCATGGCAAGAGTATCGGCGCCGGGCAGAGACGGGTGAAAGCATAGTTCAACTACTGGGTACAACCCAGATAGAAAAGAATAGATATTATGTGAAAAGCATTGGGGAGGCCGTTCAGTTCCTTACAGTCAATGAACTGGCTCTGCGTGTCACAATCACGAAGGTGGGGAGGAGGGACTGTTCCTTAAGTTATTTGATTACACAATCACAAAAATAATAAAAGTTCCATTGCCTCTGTTAATTTTTATTGAACAATCGGTTATGATTTATACCATAATTTTTGCTTTTATATGTTATATAAAACGAAGTTGTTATTATTATTTGACCCCCCTACAAAAATGGGGATGGATGGATATTTTTTGCCCCCCCCAGACAAGCCAAATGCCCACCCACACATGATGTTCTGGTCACACCTCTGGGAGCCAGATGAGGTGGCTCGGGCATCTGGTCAGGATGCCTCCTGGACGCCTCCCTGGTGAGGTGTTCCGGGCATGTCCCACTGGGAGGAGGCCCCGGGGAAGACCCAGGACACGCTGGAGGGACTATGTCTCTTGGCTGGCCTGGGAACGCCTCGGGATTCCCCCAGAGTAGCTGGACGAAGTAGCTGGAGAGAGGGAAGTCAGGGTTTCCCTGCTTAGACTGCTGCCCCTGCAACCCGACCCGGAAAATCGATAGAAGATGGATGGATGGATGGATGGACGTGTTAAGTTGCAGGTAAGCTAAACTGTGATAGGTCTTCAGTCAAGATTTAAAGACGGAGACCAATACAGCATCTTGACCATGAGCCGGTAAACTGTTCCGCAATGTAGGGGCCCTCCGTCAGAAGGCTTTACTGCTGTTTCTTGATTTATATGTGGAATGAACAGGAAGCCTGTGTTCTGTGATCTGAGTGGAGGATGCAGCTTGTGAACTTGTAGTCAGAGTGCGAATTACCCCTCCATAATTGCGGGGTACTGCCTTCATAAGACTTCTATGACCATTATGGTCCGCTACCGCGTCAATATGAATAGTCGCCACCAGGATCAATGTTAAGAGTGCAAGATGCGCTAGGGGTAACATGTATGCAACACACGGTCATGGTCTGGACATGCGACAACATGAGAATCAATACAGAAGATCTTGTTATCCTTATCCCTATTAAGTTAACGGACTCTTCCTTCAAGTCTCAAGGAAAATACTGTAAATTCAGTTTTCCACAGTTTGTTGTTCCAAGGAATATTTCTTAACTGTTTATTTTCAGTTTTAATTTTTCATTCTGCCAATGCAGAATTGTTTGTTTAATAAATGGTGTTGTTCACAAATTGGTTTGCGTTCCTTGGAGAGGACTTTTTGGGTGGCATTTCTAAAGATGGATAAAAGAAGGAAAAAAAAGAATATTAATTCAATATTTCCGTACTCTCCCAGTAACAAATCATCTCAGGCTGTACACATCAAGAAGTAAACTCATCCCTATGGATGAGTGTGGGTTTATTTCTAGTGGGTGGAGTGTTAATCCTGCTACTGTCCCCCATTATTCTCTGCATGTTGAACTTCTCTACTAGGCTGGATGATGATTGACGTCACACCCAAGGTAGAGAAATTGCTCAAGCACAGCACAGCAGGATTATTCCTGGCATTCACAGGATTTAAACCAGCAACATTACAATTGCTAATGCAGACCCCCAGCCTAAGGCTACTACATATTTAATAATACAATGGGAGAGACTAATATCTGTGGCATTCCATTTTCAGTTGCTGTGGGATTCAAAATATGGACTTCCAAAACTCAAGCCTAATAAAAAATTTTTATATTAAATGAGCAAATTGATTTGATTTGTTCTTCTATCCCAACTTGTGATCTAAAAGCAATGAGGCTGCCACACATAATATTTGCTCTATGGAAATACACTCCCATAGCCACTAGGGGAGCTCTCACCTTCTTTCAATCCTGCTAAATTATATTGCAATTCATTCCACTTGAAAAGATACAATTTAACTCAAGTCAGTGTAAGTGTGTGGTTCAGTAGCCTAAGTATTTGGTCTTGTAATCCACAGGTTGCTGGTTCAAATCCAGCTTCAGCTAGACAACTGCATGTTTATGGGCCCTTGAGCCATGAAAAATAATGAATGTAATAAATTACTATATTCTCAAATTACTTTTTGTAGTTTTGTGAACAACACCATTTATTAAACAAACAATTCTGCATTGGCAGAATGAAAAATTAAAAATGAAAATAAACTATTAGTTAAGAAATATTCCTTGGAACAACAAACTGTGGAAAACTGAATTTACAGTATTTTCCTTGAGACTTGAAGGAAGAGTCCGTTAACGGAAAATGTGCTGGTAATTTTCTGCCAGTACATTTTCTGTTTTTTGACGAATTTTTATTTACAGTGTGCCACTTTTAGATTTACTCAGCCAACATCTTACATTTACTAACCCAACACTTTTAGATTTACTGTCTCATTAAAAAGCTGAAGTTGGTGATATGAAATGTCGGCACGCGCACGGTCAATTGAGTTAATGACTCGCTTACTGCCATGTTTTTTATAATAACCAAAAAGTCCCCTTTGTTCCACAAAGTCAGTTGTCAGTTAAGGGAGCAGTTACCTTATAACCTGAACCTATATTCATTAGTAGGTCTGGCCCTTACCTTGCTAGCTCATTTGCTTGGGTATCACAGGCACTGTCTTGTTTTTTGGGGGGTCTTTTCCATTATTATACAGAACATGATGCGTGATGAATGTTTTTAAATGAACCCTTTCATCAGTATTTCAATCCATCTCCCCACAGCACTATCTATTCCAGGGCTGTGGGTGATGGTTTCCAGCTGTTTTGCGGAATCACGGGATGTCAAGTCTAGTGAAGTTTTATTGCCAAGTCAGCCAATACACAGTGAAACAACGATGCAATGACAGAACAGACATTACAGTGCTAAAGACAGAGCTACTGAATAATTTATTACAGAGAGAGCTTAGAAGTCATGGTAGTCCTTCACAAGATATAAAATAATAAAATATAATATTGAAATATAATGATTAAAATTTAAAAGCACATTGATATAGATAGGCATAATATTCTGATGTTCAAGAATATCCGGAAATTCAGCAGCAGAATTGTGTTCACCTGTCAAATTTGACAGACTGACACATTTGCTCTTCCTGCATTAAATTTTTTTTCTAAAGAAACGGTCATTTTCTGTTATATAAAGGGAAAAAGAGAAATCCCATGTGCAACATCAAAATCTTAGTATCAGCCCAACTGAATAAATAGTTCTTAGTGTTTATCATTTTATGAAAGAGATTTAAATCTAAACATGTCGGTCAATACCAAAGGTGGTAGGCAAATTTCCAGATTAGCAATTTGAATACTTCAGACTGATTTATTTTTCTTTATTGTGCATTTCGTTTCATAAGACATTATTCAAAATTGGTTTGCAAATGTATTGCTTCCAACACACCGGCCAACCAGTCTCAGCTTACAGCTGACATTAATCATTAATGATTTATAACTGAAGGTTAGATAGACTGAAATGCACATGCCAATTATATTTAATTTTTCTACTTGCAACCTAAATTATGGCCACACTATGATATTAATATCGTCCCAGTTTGTGAATTGTCTTTGTAACAGATACTGAATCTGGTTTGACCAATTCTTGTCATTATACCCTGTACTATAGTAACAGCATTTTAACAGAATAATCTTACTTTCCAATCAAGATGAATCAGACAGCTGCTGTTTCTCCACAGGCTTCCACATTAGATAACCATTTTTATTTTGCTATTTGAGAACCATTGCGTGACATTATTTTTCTTAGCTAGTGACGCAGGATTGTTTGACAGTTGACGGTTTGCAAAGTCTGGAGAAAAAAAACAGGGGATGGACCAAATTGCCAAAAACAAGCACAATTAAAGACGTTATGTATATAATACAATAGTGTTTTATGCAAAGAAACAATGACAATGGTGTTATGATTATTATAGGAAGGTAGTTGACCACAGTCATCACCAGGATGACCAAGACAGTCCAGAAAGCTCTCCTCTTCATAAGATTCATTTCATTCCTCTTCCCTTCTCCAGGATGTGGTTTCTTCAGGGCTCTGAGTATGGAGATGCTGCAGAAAGCGTTTACAGCGACGCACAGGATAAATGTGGTCCCTGAAATGAGATACGACTGAACATAAAGTAAGATTACATTTAATACAAGTGAAAGTGACCAGATACAACCCAGACACACTGATCTGCATCTCAGACTTCTGTATTTCAGGTAGGTGACTGGGTGAATCACAGCCAGGTAGCGCTCCACACAGATACAGCACTGAAAGAAGGGCCGGGCGATGAGGATGAATGCAAAGACAGAAAAAACAGGCGTAATTACAAGCAAAATATTTTTCAAGAGAAAAACAAGGATCAAGCAGAATGTGAGTGAAGAAACAACAACTTCAGTGGAAGCAAGGCCAAAGGAAAAGATATCAGATATCAAATTTCCTACTTTTCCACACAACAAGAGCATCACAATAACAATATTAGATAGAAAACTTGCTACAGCGTCCACCAACACAACTACAATAGTAATCAAGAAAAAAAATCTTGTGTGATAACATGATACTGGATCAGTAGGCTCAGTAATTCCATTTCCTGAGGACATATTTGCTAAAGATGTGTACATGGTTTGTCTTTCTTTCTTTGACTGCAGTTTGCTCCCAATCCTTGTGTCTGTGGAAAAAGATACAGATGGTTTATTTTTGTATTTTCATATAGTGTATAAAATATCCATCCAGTTTACAATAAGTAATTAACAAATAAACAATTACCCAGTACAGCATTTCAGTCTGGAATCTATACCAGGAACTACAAGACACCAGAAGGCACTTGGAATAAGACCAACACATATTCACCTGTTTCTGGGCAGTGAGAGGAAACCAAAACACCCAGTTTATGTAGCTTTAATGGTGCTGTAGCCATTCACCACTGTCATTCATGGGTGAAACTTGCTTGAAAATGCTGGTAGCCATTTCTCTCAGTCATGACTCTGCAAACTACCTCCTGCTCCTGGATTATTGTCTAATGAATGTAACTGGTTACCATATAGTAATACAGTATGATAACATTGTAAATTGGTGCCTCA